AACTTAGATTTACTCTTTCAAAGGATTTGTCTAATAAAAGCAGCAAGTAGAAACTGGGAGAATTGTTTATTTTTTTTAACTGGGTAGAAAAGGAAAGAAAAATATTCAGTTTTTGTAACTCTGAAAAAATAACTCACATTTCATAATCTTTCATAAATTTTTGTATACTACCACTGAGAACACTTAAAGGTATTTTAAATAACAGTAATTCTGCCTCCTGTGGAGTTACGTTTTCAGACAAATCCAATTTGCATGGAACAATCTGAACCAAGCACATACAATGACCAAAAAAGTGTCAGAATTAAGAAAGACTCAAGACTTGACTTGGAAATCTTAGCTCTTAGGGATCGGCCTTAGGAGCGATTTTCTTCAACTCCATACTTTCTCCCTAGACAATCTCATCCACACTCTCATTTAAATTACATCACTCTAGGCCATGCCGCCACACTGCCTCTGCAAATCTGGACTCCTCCTCCTCATCTGCTGATGCCTCTTTCTGCTATAATATCCAACCTGCAGTAAAGTTATCCTCTTATGACACAAATCTGATCATGTCGTACCCCTGCATAAAACCCTTCCATGTTTTCCCACTGCTCTAAAGACACAGACCAAAATCCTAAATACATTCTATAAGAGTTTATATCAGGGTTCTCAATCTTGGCCCTATTGACATTTGAGCCAGCTATTTCTTCAAGTGAAAGATGGTATTAATGCTCTTAATTATTGCTGATTATGGTAATTCTTCACATTTTTTAAAGCTGCTATCCTTGCCTTAAGTTTTTTATCCTTAATCAGACAAGGCCTAAAAATGAGTAAATTACTCAAATAAAACAACAAAATAACTATGAAAATATTACTAGCTCTATTGAGCAATTACAACTATCAATCCATAAAACAATGGACAGTATCTTTTTAAACTAAGCACAATTGTTCTCTTTGTATCCTTCTTTTCAGACTGCAAAACCACATCGTTGATGTTTCTATCTCTCCCTCTCCCTTCTTCTCTCTGAAATCAATTAAAAAAAAACACAAACATTAAAAAAAAAAAAAAAGAAAGAAGAAAATATTATGAACTATATGTGGAAGAAATGGATAAATTCCTAGAAACATACAGTCTCTCAAAATTGATTTGAGGAGAAACAGAAAATCTGAACAGATCAATTACATACAATGAAATTAAAGCTATAATCAAAAACTCTCCAACAAACAAAAGTCCTGGACCAGATGGCTTCACAGGTGAATTTTACCAAACATTCAGAGAAGAACTAACACCTATCCTTCTCGAATTACTCTAAAAAATTCAAGAAGAGGGAAGGCTGCCCTGACTTGGTGGCTTGGTGGCTCAGTTGACTGGAGCACTATCTGGTACACCAAAAGGTCATGGGTTAGATTCCTAGTCAGGGCACATAGCCAGGTTGTGGGTTCGATCCCTGGTCAGGATGCTTACGGGAGGCAACCAATTAGTTTCTCTCTCACAATGATATTTCTCTCTCTCTCTCTCCCTTCCTCTCTCTAAAATCAGTAAAAATAGAAACATATCTTTGGGTGAGGATTTAATAAAAATTAAGAGGGAAGACTCCCAAGCTCATTTTACGAGACCAGCCTTATTCTGATTCCAAAACCAGATAAAGACAGGACAAAGAAAGAAAATTATAGGCCAATATCCCTGATGAATATAAATGCAAAAATCTTCAATAAAATATTAGCAAACTGAATTCGGCAATACATTAAAAAGACCATACACTGTGACCAAGTGGGATTTATTCCTGGGATGCAAGGTAGGTACAATATTTGCAAATCAATTAACATAATACACCACATAAACAAACATGATCATATTAACACTTAGAAAAAACTTTTGACAAAATCCAGTACTCATTTATGATAAAAACTCTCAGAAAATAGGAATAGAGGGAACATATCTCAACATATAAAGGCCATGTATAACAAACTCACAGCTATCATACTACATGGGAAAAAACAAAAAGTGTTTCCCTTAAGGTCAGGAACAAGACAGAGATGTCAGCTTTCACCACTCTTATTAAACACCGTACTGGAGTCCTACACATAGCAATCAGACTAGAAGAAATAAAGGCACAATTGGAAAGGAAGAAATAAAACTGTCGTTATTTGTAGATGACATGACACTGTACATAGAGAACCCTAAAGATTCCTCCAAAAAACTACTGGAACTGATAAATTCAGTAAAGCAGCAGAATACAAAATAAATCTCCAGAAACTGGTTGCATTTTAATACACCAATAATGAACTATCAGAAAGCAATAGGAAGAAAACAATCCCATTTACAAATGCATCAAAAAATAAATTACCTAGGAATAAATTTAACCAAGGAGGTAAAATTATTAAAATTACTCAGAAAATTATCAGACACTGAAGAAAGAAACTGAAGAGACAAATAAATGGAAGCATATACTGTGCTCATGGATAGGAAGAATTAACATCATAAAATGCTCATACTGTGCTAGTTCATATGGGTTAGTTGGTTGGAGAGTCGTTCTATGCACCGAAGGGTTGCAGCTTCCATTCCTGGTCAGGGCACATACCCAGGTTTCCGGTTTGATCCCCTTTTAGGGTACACGTAGAAGACAACCAATTGGTATCTCTTTCTCACATCAATGTTTCTCTCCCTCCCTCTCTCTCCCTCCACTCTCTCCTCTCTCTTCCTTCCTCTCTCTAGAATCAATGAAAAACATATCCTTGGTTGAGGATTTAAAAAAAAGAAAGAAAATGTCCATACTATCCAAAGCAATGTACAGATTCAATGCAATTCCTATCAAAATACCAATAGAGTATTTCACAGAACTAGAACAATCCAATTTTAGTATGTATATGTGCGACACAACAATCTAATTAAAAATTGGCTAGAGGATCTGAATAGATATTTTTCCAAAGAAGACATACTGATGGCCAACAGATACATGAAAAGGTGTTCAACATTACTAATCATCAGGAAAATGCAAATCAAAGCCATAATCAGACATCACCTCACACCTGTTAGAAGGCTATCATCAAGAGGACAAGCAATAACAAGTGTTGGCCAGAATGTGGAGAAAAGAGAACTACTGTGAACAATTAGTGGAAATAAAAATTGGTGCAGCCACTATGGAAAACAATATACAGGTTTCTTAAAAATTTAAAAACAGAACTCCCATATGGTCCAGCAATTCCTGAGTATCTAATGAAAATGAGAACACTAACTCAAAAAGATATATACACACCCCTGTTCACTGTAGCATTATTTATAATAGCCAAGATATAGGAACAACTTTTTGACATTTATCTCTCAGCTTCATCTGTTTCCTTACCTATAAATAAGGCGAATAATACCTATCCTACCTAACTCATAAGGTTATTGTGAGAACCAAGATATGAAAGTACTTTCAAATCGTGAAAAATTATAGAAAAACAAGCTATTAATGAAGGAGTTGAAGAAGATTCAGAAACAGTATAGCAGAGTAAGTGGTTAAATACTCAGATTTTGGAGCCAGAGTTCATTTGTTTGAATCTAAGCTCTGCTATTTCCTAGTTATCTGATGACTTTAGGGAAGTTACTTTACTTTTCTATGCAATGGTTTCTTCATCAGTAAAATGAATATAATAATAAAACCAATCTCATAATTTTATGAAGATTAAATTAATTAATGCATTTTTAATACTTAGAACAGTGTTTGTCACATAAGTACTCAAATGTTGGATGTTAGAATTTTGTAAATGAAGCATCATACCCTAAAAAAGAGTTCAAATACATAATGACAGTACAAAAAGAGTCTAAAAGGTGCTGGTATTCTCTCTCCTAACAGAGTTTAGGTATATCCCTCCAATTTTGGAAGTAAGCATTTTGTTTCAATTTTCAACTAAAACTATGTGGCTTCCAAAATACTTCACTCATGCAAATACTTATCATTGTTGTAAAGCAATAGCTATTTTATTTCATTTTTAAATATCCTTTACTTTTTTATCTAAAAATATCTCACTGATTTTTTAATTTTGTTAAAGTAATATAAATTTTGTCATCAGTTTTTAGATTACTTTTCTTTGCTTCAAATATCCTCCTACAGAATTTGACTTCTAATTTAAAAGCTAACTGAGTAGCTTAAAAGAGGAAAAATGTAACAATGAACTGGGCCAAAAAAGACTGTGTAATATGTCAAAAGGAAACAGCACAAGTTCTAAATGAGTTATTTACTAAAATAACAAAGAGGAAGTGATGAGGGAATAATTCTCACCAAAAAAATATAATTTAATAATGCAGTACTCTAAGCAATTCTTGTACCAGATTAGTTTATGGTCAGGTCTGGAGCTATAGACAGAGTCTGAAATAAAGTTGGCACCTCACTAAGAAATCACAGCTAGGAGTTATCTTAAATTTCCAATATGTAACAGGAAATGTTGCCACTGATTCAACAGGTGACACCCCTTTCCTTTTTTTTTCTTTTTCTGAGTTGTCAACAAACTAAAACAAAAATGCTCCAGAAGCCCTGTTACTAGCTAAAAGTTAAATGTAAAAATTCCACTGCAACATTTAAAAAAACTGGTAAGACACTGAATCTGAGCAGATACCTAATAAGGACTGTTTCTGTCAACATTTACACAGTGCCTCCTGGAATATATTAACTGTATATAGCCCAATGAGCACCTATAATATAGTTATCATATCTTCAAGATTCTAATCACCTTAAGTTTTGATGTGAAGGTTAATTATAAATTTCAATATATTAGGACAAGTACCTGGAACTCATATTATCCACACACACACACAAAATGAAAAATTAATTTTAAATGAGTTGGATATCCAAGTAAAGAGGTGGCAACTATATTTTATTCTAATACAGTATTTTAGAGGCCAAAGACAACATTATTTATAGCAAACATTCTGAAAGTAGCTCAGTGAATGAAAGCCTATATCTCTCTCACCCCAGCATTTTAACACCATTCTCATCTATACATATCAGTGTCGAGAAGAGGTTTTTCACACACACCTCTCTGGCAATGTTACTCAAAGCTTCATCTTCTGCAGAAAATCGGTCTTTCACAGGTGTTCTTTTCCTTCCAGAACCAGGAGTCCCCATCTTGTCTTCCTGATCGTCTTTTAACTCTGAAAAATGGTTTCAGTCTGTTTTTGGCCCTGAAATAAACAGAAACAGAATAATTTAGGATGTTTCTCTTTGTGCAGTTTTAATGCTCATTTATACATTCACTTTTAACAAAGAGAAATTATATTTATGTACTTATGTATATATTAAAATTAATCAAATACTTTTTCTTATCAAATTATTCCAAAAATTTTTAGAGTATTTAAATTTGTACTAACTACTGAACCTCTCTCAACTCTTTTTACCATATTAACCATGGTAACCTATGAGAATGTGTTATATTAGCCTCAGAAAACTGCAGACAACAGTAACTTTACTTGTTTAAACTTACTACATCTATTTCTAAAATCTAGTTCCTCTCCAGAGCAAAAAAACCCAAACATTTCAGAAAAGTCATTCAGCCTCAAGCTTTGAGAGAACACATTCAAAAAATTTTAATACAGGCCTTAAAGTCACAAGGTAACTTGGCTTTTTGGTGTAATTTAAGAAACAATTCCAATTAACCCATTACCACATAAAAGGCCAAAAGAAGGTTTATTATACAGCAATTAACAATAACCAACACTGTCCATGCAACAAATATCTGAGTCCTTGCTATTGCCAGGTACTATGGCGGGTGCCAAGTTCAGTGATAAACAAAACTGACGTAGGCCAATGATTAAGAACATATCTATGGATCCACTATTTTTATAAGTATTATAGGTCTATTTTTACAAGAGAGAAGAAAAATTAATCCTTCAGGATTAAATAACAAGATGATAAAGACCATCTAACTAACCTAACACATGGTGAGTATTGGAAACTAAAGATTCTCGTGAGAAAGCATCCCAGCTTGCCCGCCCTCCCTCTCTCCTGCACACGTTCCTGAGAAGTGCAGCTCATTGAGCTAAATACCCATTAACTTAAAAAATTTTTCCTAGCTTTAACAAAATTAACTGGCAAAACTTCATTATACTGTGAGTCACAAAAGAACTCTCAAGTATGTTTGTTCTAACAGAATAAACTATATTAAAACTATAAGTGACTTTAATGTACTGGAATTTATTTGATTCAGGCAAAATGAAACAAAACCATTTCATCAATCAATCCACTCCTCCAAAAAAGTATTCTCCAATGAAAATTCCAGCCATTGCCAGGCCAGTGTGGCTCAGCAGTTGAGCATCAACCTAGGATCCAGGAGATCGGGGTTCGATTCCCGGTCAGGGCACATGCCTGGGTTGTGGGCTCCATCCCCAGTCGCGGGTAGGCAGGAGGCAGCCAATCAGTGAAGACGCTCTCATCACTGATGTTTCTCTCTCTCTCTCCCCCTCTCCCTTCCTCTCTCTGAAATCAATAAAGATATACTTAAAAAAAATAAAAATAAAAAAATAAAACATTCAAATCCAAGGCCCAAATAATAAAATGGCCTCAAAGTGGATCACACCCAAATCAGGCACAACATACTACAGAGCAAAGACACAGTGGCTGAAGCCAGAGCCAGGGTGCTCTTCTGAACACATTTCTCTCTCCTCTTTCCCTAGAATCCATCTTGCTTCTTTCTGAACTAATACTTCCTCAGAACTTAGACCTGCCAGGATTTTCCCAGCACACAGGTCTACATAAAGAATTATCTTGGCCCTGGCTGTGTACCTCAGTTGTTTAGAGCATCGTCCTGATACACCAAGGTTGTGGGTTTGATCCCAGGTCAGGGCACATACAAGAATCAACCAATGAATATGTGAATAAGTGGAGCAACAAATCAATCTCTCTCTCCCTCTCTCGAAGAATCAATACATTTTTTAAAACCATCTTTTCTTTAAAATGCCTCAAAACAAGGCTACCCAGTCCAGAGAGTAAGAAGACAAAAAAGGGACAGAGGACGTGGGTGAACAGGAAATGGGAAGAGTCCTGGTCTGCCTTCCTAGTCCTAGCTACAGAGGGCATCTAGGTGTTTGTGTGACTAACTGGCCAGGTCCTGGCACCTTTTTCAACTGCACAAGAGGCAGACCAACCATTACCTATTTCAAAAAACAATCTAGTGCTTTTGAAAGAATTATATTATTTGTACTCTGCAGGCAGACATCCTTAAAGGTTTTCAGCTCCTATACAATCTATCTTCTAATCACTCCAGAACATTCTGTATCAGTGACAGCGGAAAAACCTTAAAAGAAGTAAGATTTCTGGCATAGCCAATGGGAAACTGCTTTTCAACAAAATGACATAAATAAGGCTGTAGACTCAAATATATTATTTCCAATTTCTGATCCTAAAAGGGCTTTTAGTAAGTTTCTATCTCAAAGAACACTTTTCCTCAGGAGCCATGTTACTCTCTTCAGCTTTTCCTTAGTGCTACCAACCAAACTAAGGGCTGAACCTTTACACCAACAAAAACAAAACGGCCTGCATTTTGTCAAGTCCTTTACCCAGACAATGTCAAGCTGATTTTCTCCAGATGGTTTTGTCATTACGTACTGGTCTAAGGGAAAGAAGGGCAGTACCTTCAGAACGTTGTGGAATATAAACCTTCCAAAACAGACAGATACATCAATAAGGCTTTCTCTTCCCTAGTGAACTTCTCATATAACACATTTCTGAAAAACAGGCATTTTGCCACATTAAGTGGCACTTTAATCATGAGATTGTTCCCTTTTGTGAGAACAGAATGTGTATGTAATGTCAGTATGTCACATGCTAAATATAGCACACTTAGTTCTGTCTGGATACAGTTCCCTTATATCTAAGTACTTCATCACGGAGAACTCGAAACACTGGCGTGATAAGTCCCTGCATCAGAGTTGTCATTACAGATAACACTGGTCTGCACAATAAAACACTTGGTAGTTATTCATAAGCAATTCACAGTATCTGGAATGGCACCTGAACTAAAGACTTAGTGGGACTACAGTTGTTCCCACTGGACAGGATTTCAGGTAAAAGGATCGGAGTTCATCAGATTGTACAAGCAACCACTGCACTGCCCTTCCTACCGCCAAAGCCTTGGTTTCTTCATCTATAGAGCAGAAACTGTCCCAACTATTTAACATGGTTAATGTGAGGCTCAAAGGAATTAAGATAAATGCAACCACTTAATAAACTTACAAAGCACTCCATAAATGTTTAAAGTATCTTGACTTAATTACCTCTTTTACATATTTGGTTTATGAAGTTGACAAAAGGGCAATCTTTGCCTTCCTTTACAACTTCATATTTTTAACTAAACAAAAATATCCTCAAGTTATTTCCTCCAGCATGCATTATATGATATCATTAGCTATGGTAGGAATTTTTGCTAAAACATGGAAAAATCTGGAAAATATAAAAATGCCTATAGTATAATCATTATACTATACAGTCTATTTACATAATAAAATAAAATAAAATTTAAGATACTGTGTAGTATTCAGTCTGTTTTTGAAAATCTAAATGAATACACAAGTTTTGGGACTGCAGCCTTATAATGGGTGTTTTTAGTACCTTAAGTGAACACTTGACTTAGAAGGAAATAGAAGACAGAGGTCATTAAATGGTACACTTAAGATCTATGCATACCTTTCTATGTAATTTTAAAAAATATTTATTTATTCTCATACTTGATAATTAAATGACATTTTCAGATATGCATGGTCTCAATAACTCACCTCTTTTATAACCTTTGTCAATCAGCTACTTTATCAAATAAAAGAGAAAAATAAGAGAGAGGAAACATAGTATACAGAAAATAAATTCAACAGAAAAGAGAGGCAAAGGGGATTGATCCCCAGCAGTATGACAGATATTCCAGGAAGAAAGCTACAGATTAAAGCAATGTAGAGTCCTGCCCAGCTGGCTCAGTAGGTTGGAGGACCATCCCGTATACCAAAAAGGCTGCGGGTTTGATGACAGGTCAGATCTGCATTTCACTAATGATTAGTGAAATGCATATACTTTTCATATACTTATTGGCCATTTTTATATCTTCTTTGGAGAAATATCTGTTCAAGTCCTTCGCCCATCTTTGAATTGGGTTACTTGTTTTGTTGTTGAGTTTTAGGGGTTCTCTCTATATTCTGGATATCAATACCACGTCAGATACATGATTTGCAAATATTTTCTTCCATTCTGTGGGTTGCTTTCTTACTGTTGATAGTGTCCTTCAATGCACAAAGGTTGTGGGTTCAATACCCAGTTGAAGGAGGCAAACCAATCGATGTTTCTCTTTCACAGAGATGTTTTTCTCTGTCTCTAAAAAGCAATGGAAAAAGTATCCTCAAGTGAGAATCAAAAAAAAAGAAAAGAAAAAAGACGTAAAGAATATAATAGAGAGCCCAGAAATAAACCCTCGCATATATGGTCAAATGATTTTACAAGGGTGTCAAAACCAGTCAATGGGGAATAGACAGTCTTTTTCAGCAAATGGTGCTGGGAAAACTGGACATCTACATGCAGAAAAATGAAACTAGGTCCTTACCTTACACCATATATAAAAACTGATTCATAGTGAATCAAAGAAATAAATGTAAGCTAAAACTATAAAACTCTTAGGAAAAAACACACACACAAAAAGCTTTATAACACTGGATTTAGCAATGATTTCTTGGATATGACACCAAAAGCACAGGCAACAAAGGAAAAGATAGATAAGTTGAATTTCATCAAAATTTAAAACTTTTGTGCATTGAAGGACACTATNGGAAAAGATAGGTAAGTTGAATTTCATCAAAATTTAAAACTTTTGTGCATTGAAGGACACTATCAACAGTAAGAAAGCAACCCACAGAATGGGAGAAAATATTTGCAAATCATGTATCTGACATGGGATTGATATCCAGAATATAGAGAGAACCCCTAAAACTCAACAACAAAACAAGTAACCCAATTCAAAGATGGGCAAAGGACTTGATGGGCAAAGATATAAAAATGGCCAATAAGTATATGAAAAGTATATGCATTTCACTAATCATTAGTGAAATGCAGATCAAAGCCACAGCGAGAGACTGCTCCACATTGATTAGAATGGCAAAAAAGAAGGAGAAAAAGGAAGAAAGAAAAAGAAAGAGAGAGAAATGTGTGTAAA